CCGCTGCTTAAGTAGGCTGTACAGTCCCCGACGCAGATGGTGACTGTATTTAATATTAAACTGTGTAGAACATTTAGAATTTAACGTTGATAACACCGCTGCCTCAGCGGACGGTACACACGTTCGTGCACCGTGCACTCTTCAATGCACCATCGTTTCTGCTCTGACATACGCCGACGCATAACTTCCTCTCTTATGTTCTCCCCTGTCACTGTCCTCGTTTCGAACCACGACCCTCGAAATTCTAGGACCGGCACAAGGTCTACAGTCTCCGACGCTGCTGCAGGCGATTCTACGATTTCGTTGGTCGAGGTTCGACACGATGACGGGGCATAACAGGTTATGCATCGACGCATGTCATGGCATACACCGGCAAGCCTACATACACTTTGCAATCGTACATAACAATGCCTACGTGGTACACCAACAGCGGTGTCGTCACATAGCTATTTAACCGCTGAGCTGGTGGTGTTATTATGGCACGCTACTGCTGCACGCAAAACTCCCCCCCCGACACCACACACACTCACACGGCCACACGCACCTGCTGCTGGCTGCTATGCGGTCCTTCTGAATCCAAGTCATACCTGGTCAGTAACCCAGTAAGACGCGGATCCGCAAGGTGTGGACCCAAGTCTTACCTGGTTACTGACCCGGTATGACTTTGATCCACAACGACTGGACAGCAGGGCGGTGTGGTGTAGCCCGGTGTACTACTGTGTGTGTACATATGACATGCTGCATCGCTACCGTACCATGATAACACCACTGCCTCGCCGGACAGCACGACTGTCCCTGCTCCGTGCGCCTTTGACTGCCCTACTTTGCTTACTTGTTGAGGCGGTGGTAACTGCGCTGTTGCCCGTTGTACTCATGCTGCCGCCTCGACTTGGAGGCGGCTTCCAACTGGAGATGAAGGAGCGGCGGCCAGACTCCCGGTCATGGCGGCTGGGCGGTACACAGCACCTATTGCTGCCACGTTGGTTGGCCGTGTTGGTGTTCGGCGTGTTGGTCGTCAGCATCGTTGCCAACGTCATGGTGGCGGTGGCGGCTGGGCAAGATTGTCCGCTGTAGCACTTCGCCTCCACGGCTCGCCTTCAGCTTGATATCTTCATATGCCATGAAGGCCGAAATATTACTGGCGTACGAAAATATCACATCGGTGTGATATCTTCGTATGTCATGCATTCCTCGGCATTCCTGGCCTACGAAGAT